CACGATGTAACGTTTACCGAACTTTCAAGATGACTGAGCGAATTCGGGGCCGAGAAGGGCCTCTTTGATCTAGGCAGTAATTATGGCAGCTTACGGAATATTCAATTATACGTTCGAGTAATTACGTGGAAGGTATTCTGACGCTGCGATAACCTTTAATCCCAAGTAACCCTGTTAACGTTACGTGGGTTACCCGGGGTGGAAGCGAGCCGATCCTCTCTTACTGTGGTCGAGTGAGATTAGCATTCTCGACACTTCGGCCTCGCCTTCCCCCGCGAGTGAAGTCGGAACTTGACCGGCGAGAGATATCAGAATGAGCGACGGAACACGGCCGGGCGGCTCAATTGACTTCCCTGGCGATCACGTCCGCCGGCAGGAAGTCAATCGGCACCGACGCGTGGATAAAAGTCAACATCTGGTTTGTATTTTGGAAGCGGCGCCGCCTTTTGGGAAGGTGCAGACGTTGCGATAAAATTATTCGTTTGATTTAATTTCGCACATCTTCCATGTAAAGTGAATTGCATTCCCGGAGTTCGTCTCAGCACGTAGAGGATGGTAGTGTGAAGAATACTCAAGTTTATTTTTACGCGAGATACACAGTTCGGCGTAGAGGAAATAGAATGTTTTGTTGTTTATTTATTCACTAGTCTTTTCTGTTCTATACATAGGAAGTTAAGCGCCATTGAGTTGATTGAACGTTGACTTTTTAAAATAAAAACGTTATAGTTTAAATGTTTTGACAAAACTTTTGAGATTAATCGACTCATCATTGGTCGCCCCTTTTATTTAACACATTGCAATCGTGGCTATGCATATTGCAGAATTCCTAAAGTATTCAAACAAGACATGTTATATGCGAGTATATTCTTTATATTACGGACGAACGAGATTTCTTCAACATACGAACTTAGATTTGATTTGAAAAATATTCTGGAACCGTTTCGCAAAGGAAGCACGGAGTCAGGGAATTGATGTGCAAGGTCTCTGCATGCCCCGGTGTGACCCTAGCCTTTCTCTCCTTTCCCCTCCAGGCGAGGCCCCTCCTACGCCTGTGCCCTCGTCCAACGTGGGCAAGGAGGCCTCAACCAAGCTACCTGGCCTCTGGGTCGTCATCATAGTACTCGTTGCCACTGCATTGCTTGCTCTCAACGTTTCTGCCATTGTCTGTATAGTTAGGCGAAGGAGGAACAAGCGGGCTTCTCCCCCCACGAAGAAGACTCCGCCGCCGTCTGTGTCATCGACCATGGCCAAAGCCATGCCACTCTCTGTCACGCAGGGTAAGTCACTCGCCTCGTTTCCAGTTTTTACGATCAGCCATAGATTTTCTTTCATTTGTTTCAGGCCAGCCCCTTTTAGGCGACCGTGAACTCCTATTAAACCAAGTTCTCGGAGGTCGCGGAGACCTCCCCAAGCTGATCATCATTGTTGTAGCCATCGTCGGCACCATGATTGTGATACTCAACATTGCCCTCGTCATCTGTCTAATACGCAGAAAGCGTGGCAAGAGACGAGATGATGGTAGGAACCGATCACCAACTCGCACCCCATGTTTGCTCTTGCCTCAACTCGGCCAACATGCTGCTAGATCTCCTGTTCAGTATATTAAGTTAATCCTGTCTTCTTAATCCTCGGCAATAAATCAGATTTTCTATCACCATTTCCTTTCCTGCAGAGTATCCTCATGCCTCGGCCTCCTCCGGGCGACAGTCTGACATTGTTGCCTCATTTCAAGTTCTTTTTAACACAAGTTACTTTGAAGTCGCTTCCTTGTTCTAACATAAATATCAATGGCATTTAATTAAGAAGGGTTCAGCGTAAGACGCCCAAGTAAGCTGAACATTCGTAGAAACAGTAACAACTTGTGCTTCTTCCTCGTAAGCTCGTTTCCGGATTCACTCTTTCTCTCCTTTGGCAGAATGTTGCCGTTGGTTATTGCTCATGCATTCATGCAAGTAGCTGTCATGAGACGCCAGTCGAGGGCTCTTTAGTATATTGCGAAAGAGGATATAGTCAAATGGCCAATTATCGTGAACATTCATGTGCGGTGACTTTTCTTTAGTTCTTTAAGTTGATTGTATAGTCTTTTTACTTGGTTTGTCCTTTAGTTATTTTTTATTATTTATTTTCATTATTAATAATGATTATTATTTTCAAATTCTGCATTATTTCATCAAAAGGTTCACTCGAGGTAGATTTCCCATTCATTTGAACCAAATTACAGTAACAAGATATTTCAAGCATAAGCAGCCTGCGTCTTAAGTCCCCCGTTTCAGTCCTTCCCTTTGGCCCTTTCCTCCCAGAAGGCAGCGACCAGGCGAGCAGCAAGAGCACGACCAACACCATGTACGCCCCCTCCTCGTACAACGACACGGTGGTGGGCGAGACGCTGTCGTCCATCTCCGAGAAGAGCCGAGAGTCGTACACGCAAGAGGACTCCGTCGTGGACTATGAGGTGAGTTGGACTTGGAGGAGTTGCTTGGTGCGGGGCAAGGTGTTCGAG